AACGGAAAAACGACCTTTATCCAGGATCTAATCCTGGATGAGCGGGCAGATCTGGCGTGCATTACGGAGACCTGGTTGGACGAAGCTGGGGGGGTGAATCTGACCCAGCTTTGCCCTCCAGGGTTCTCCGTACAGCACCAACCGAGATCCGGAGGACGGGGAGGCGGGGTTGCAGTGGTCTATAGAGATTCCATCCATCTGACCAGGAGCCCCATCCCGCAGACCACAAATTTTGAATGCGTCCACCTAAGGGTGGGTGACCGGGACAGATTAGGGATTCTGCTAGTGTACCGTCCACCTCGCTGCACTACAGTCTCCCTACCTGAGCTAGCGGGGGTAGTCTCGAGCCTGGCGTTGGAGTCTCAACGGCTTCTGGTGCTGGGAGACTTCAATATCCATGCCGAGGCGACCCTCACAGGAGCGGCTCAGGACTTCATGTCTGCCATGGCAACCATGGGGCTGTCCCAACAAATATCTGGCCCCACCCACTGTGCTGGACACACATTGGACTTGGTTTTCTGCCAGGGATGGGAGCAGGGTGGCGGTGTGGAGGAGTTGTCTATCTCTCCGTTGCCATGGACTGACCACTTCCTGATCAGATTTAGGCTCACTGCACCCCCTAACCTCCGCAAGGGTGGAGGACCCATTAAGATGGTCCGCCCCAGGAGGCTTATGGATCCGAATGGATTCCTGACGGCTCTTGGGGATTTTCCCGCCTCCTCGGTAGGTGACCATGTCGAGGCCTTGGTCGCTCTCTGGAATGGGGAGATGGCCAGGGCAATTGACGTGATCGCTCCGGAACGTCCCCTCTCAAGTAGCCGAGCTAAACCAGCCCCTTGGTTTACCGAGGAGCTGGCAGCGATGAAGCGAAAGAAGAGGGAACTAGAGAGCGTGTGGCGTTCAGATCCGAGCGAGCCAAATCGAACACGGTTTGTGTCCTTTTTAAGGGCATATGCCGCGGCAATAAAGCCGCAAAGAAAACTTTCTTTGCGGCCACTATTGCGTCTGCAAAGAACCGTCCGGCGGAGTTGTTTCGGATTGTCAGAGGTCTTTTAACTCCCGCCACCTCAGGCGGGAGCCCTGACAATTCGGTCACGTGCTGTGAAGCATTTGCTCGGTTCTTCGCAGACAAAGTCGCTTTGATCCGTTCTGAGCTGGACACCATGTTAAATGCAGTCTCTGAGGATGTAACCAGAGCACCTGCTTGTCCTATTTTGATGGATTCTTTTCAGTTTGTGAAACCCGAGGATGTGGACAAGATACTTGGAGGAATGAGGCCCACCACGTCCATCCTAGACCCCTGCCCATCCTGGCTTCTGAAGGAGGCCAGAGGGGGATTGGCGGAGTGGGTAACGGTGGTGGTTAATGCCTCCCTTCGGGAAGGCAAGATTCCAGCGTGCTTAAAACAAGCAATTATAAAACCGCTGTTGAAGAAACCATCACTGGACCCCACTAAATTTGACAACTTTCGGCCTGTTTCCAATCTCCCCTTTTTGGGCAAAGTCATGGAAAGCGTGGTGGCCTCACAACTCCAGGTATTCTTGAGAGACACCGATATTCTGGATCCGGCACAGTCTGGTTTCAGACCGGGACATGGTACCGAGACGGTCTTGGTCGCCTTAGTGGATGATCTACGCCGGGAGCTAGACAGGGGGAGTGTGTCCCTGTTGGTGCTCCTGGACCTCTCAGCGGCCTTCGATACCGTCGACCACGGTATCCTTCTGGGGCGCCTTGCGGAAATGGGCCTTGGGGGCACTGCTTTGCAGTGGCTCCACTCATTCCTGGAGGGCCGCACCCAGAAGGTGTTGTTGGGGGACTCCTGTTCTACGCCACAACCTTTGACTTGTGGGGTTCCACAGGGTTCCATACTGTCCCCCATGCTGTTTAATATCTACATGAAGCCGCTGGGTGAGATCATCCGGAGTTTCGGGGTGCGGTGTCATCTGTACGCAGATGATGTCCAACTCTGTCCCTCCTTTCCACCTGCTACTAAGGAGGCTGTCGAGGTCCTGAACCGGTGCCTGGCCGCTGTAACGGTCTGGATGAGGGCGAACAAACTGAAACTAAATCCAGACAAGACAGAGGTACTCCTGGTCAGTCGCAAGGCCGAACGGGATATAGGGTTACAGCCTGTGCTGGATGGGGTCGCACTCCCCTTGAAGGCGCAGGTTCGCAGCTTGGGTGTGACCCTGGATTCATCGTTGAGCCTGGATCCCAGGTTTCAGCGGTGACCAGGGGAGCATTTGCACAGCTTCGGCTCGTGCGCCAGCTGCGCCCGTATCTCGGGAAGTCTGACTTGGCCATGGTGGTACACGCTCTGGTCACATCCCGGCTTGACTACTGCAACGCTCTCTACGTGGGGCTGCCCTTGAAGACGGCCCGGAAGCTTCAGCTGGTTCAGCGCGCGGCAGCCATGTTACTAACTGGAGCGGGATACAGGGAGCACACAACACCCTTGTTGTCCCAGCTCCACTGGCTGCCGATTTGCTACCGGGCCCAATTTAAGGTGCTGGTGTTGGCCTACAAAGCCCTAAACGGCTCCGGCCCAAAATACCTTTCAGACCGCATCTTGGCCTATGAGCCCACGAGGGCCTTGAGATCGTCTGGGGAGGCCCTTCTCTCGATCCCGCCTGCCTCACAGGCACGTCTGACGGGGACGAGAGAGAGGGCCTTCTCAGTGGTGGCCCCCCGGCTGTGGAACACTCTCCCTACAGACATCAGGCAGGCGCCCTCCCTTATGTCCTTCCGAAAAAGCCTTAAGACATGGCTATTCGAGAGGGCATTTAATTAAGTGCTATAATAATGTGGTAAAGATGACTGGAATGGAACAAGGAATACGAGATTGGTTACGATTCTACTACGAGACGAAGCGGATTAGTTAGTGTAATTTTATGATTGTTGTATTGTTGTATTGCTGATGAGTTGTTGTAATTGCCTTTTTGTAAACTGCCTTTTATACTGTACACCGCCATGAGTCGCCCTGGAGGGCTGAGAATGGCGGTTAATAAATGCATCAAATAAATAAATAAATAAATAGATTTAGGGTTTTTCATCCTCCCTCTCCAGCCTCTGGTGACTCATGATGGATGGATATTATGAATGTTTTTCACCAGGCACGTGGGCAGGGTATTGTACTGATTATTTTATGAAGTGGCAAATATGGTAGAAAACATTTCCCTTCCTGTTTTTATATGTGCATGTGTTTTTTTTATTGTATTTTATATATTGTGTTCACTTTTGTTTGTTTTTAGGCACTTTTGCCATTTGTAAGCCGCCCTGAGTTTCTTCAGGGAGTTGGTGGTGAGACATAAGAATAAAGTTATTATTATATTATTATTCCCCCTAATGATAAATGAGTACAAATCTCAGTCTTCTTCTACTGAAACGTTTGAAAAGGCACTGCAGACTACTTCAACCAGAGAAGTTAGCAATAGCAGAGCACCTGATGAACCAACCTGGACATATCAAATTATTTGAGAACACAGAAATGCTGGACCACTCTAACAACTACCATGTGAGGCTACACAGAGAAGCCACCGAAATCCACAAGCATGTGGACAATTTCAACAGAAAGGAAGAAACCATGAAAATGAACAAAATCTGGCTACCAGTATTAAAAAAACTCTAAAATTATAACAGTAAATAAAGAACAAAACTCAAACACAGGGGAACTCCAGATAAGAAACAAACAGGAACAACAAAGGATTCCCCCCAGGCAGTAACAAGCCACACCCAAAAACTGTCAGGCCATCAAATGCTAATCAAGGTGGCCAACTGAAACATTCACACCTAGCTCCAGCAGACAATAGTTCTTCCTCCCACCCTGGACTTCGCACAGTTATATAAACCCAATTTTCCTAGTTTCCAACAGACCTCACAATCTCTGAGCATGCCTTCCATAGATGCAGGCAAAATTTCAGGAGAGAATGCTTCTAGAACATGGCCATATAGCCCGAAAAACCTACAACAACTCAGTGATTCTGGCCAATGAAAGCCTTCGACATTACATATTTTGAAAAAGGAGTTTGAATGCCTAGGAGGTGAACAGGGCAGGGTAGTGCCTTGTAATTCTGGGAGAGGATTTGGAAAACATTTAAATCTGACTTACATCTCAAAGCTTTCCATGGTTTGCCTCTGTAATACCCCCATTGACTATATATAATCCCTTTCAGGTGGTACGTACATTACTTATTTGGTTATTTATGTTAATTTCTTCTCTATATATAAAGAATATATTTTGTCAGGACTATTTTAGTGCTATCTGGAGACGGCTGGCCTAAACCTCTGGCTTGTTGCACTGACTGCTCATCAGTAATTACTGTAGCTATATGCGTACAGTTTGCTACCTTGAGTGATAATCGTCTCTTGCTGAGCATACACTCCCGAGGCTTCACACAGGTCTTTCCTGTTTTCTTTGAAAGGATCTTTTGAAGTAAATTTAATGGACTTGAAAGAAGTACAAAAGGCCCAGTAATGCCTCTGGGCAAGTTAAGTAAACTTATAAGCAATCATATTTCAGTTTCTACCACTACCATTTCCTTCTGAATAGCATGTGTTTCTATTTTTTTTTGCTCCATTGGCTTTTGTCTTTAAAGTCTTTTCCAAATAAGAGTTGGAATAGTTCTCTATCTCATAACCAGTTGGCAAAAACTTTTTTCCACTTGGCCTCTGTGAAATTTTGCTACATGTGATTTATGATCTGAGATTCTTGGCCATGAAGATAAACAAAGGTCAGGAGATTATTGCATATACATGAATGTGCTTTCTAAATGCAAGGTGAAGATTCCGAGCCCTTCAGGAATGATTTATGTTGGTATCCTAGCCCACGCAAGACTTGTTGAGAGGCGTTATCTCTTCCAAAAGAGGAGGAAAGATCTCTTCAGCTTTTTCTGACATTAGCTTCAGCTATTTCAATCAGAAATATTTGTAGCATACTGTTGTTACTAACTAAAGTCATGTTCTGTTGACAGTAATGCTGATACCTTTCTTTTGTCTTCCAGTGTGTGAAAGTCATGCAAGACTCTTGGGAAAAGGTTTTATGATGATGATTTACATCAAGAAATCAACAAAATGAAATTTGGAAAAATATGCATGTAAGTAGCTCTGCTCCTAAAGCAGGAGACCCACAAGTCTCGCTTTGTCATTGTTTGTGTTGATTAGCCTTGCAGGGAATTGTAGTTCAACACTATCAAGTGTTACATCATAAAGTAGAGCACAGTTCTCTGCAGATCTTCTTATGTCCCATTGAATCTATTGCTTCTCCTTCCTCAGTAAATGTACTGTGACTTTAATATGTTTCCAAAGCACTTCATGGAAAGAAATCAAAAGTGGCTTCCAACTCTATGATCTAATTTATATCAGGAAGAATTGGCAGATGTTTCAGTCACTGAAGTCAAGTTTTCCTGAATCTGAACAAATGTTGCCTTAAGCTCAGTAATAAGTCTCCTTGGTTACTGATGCAAAATCTTGCCTTCTCTTATTTTCCCATTTGATTTGGTGCTTATTTCATCTTGATAACAATGGTTCTTTTTCCCTTGGCAACAATCAACTTTGCTGGACGGGCCACGTTGTACAAATTCCCAGTCACTGTCTCTGAAAACAGTTACTTTATTCTCAGCTCAAGAACAGAAAATGGAATGTCGGTTAAGAGATTTAAAGATGGGCTTAAAGCTAAGCTAAAAAAAATGTGGAGCAAACCCCTAGAACTGGGAAGCCCTGGCATTTGAGCATTGCAGCTGGAAGTGAGCTGTTCCCACAGTGCCGGGTATTTTGAGGACGCACAAATAGAGGGTGAAATGTGCCAAGAGAAAGGCACGTCAAGCAAACCCTTGTCAGAACTGCCTTCCATCTGGAATATTATGTCTTCATTGTGAAAGACCATGTAGATCCAGAATAGGCCTTCACAGTCACTTATGGACTCATTACCAAGACGCTACCTTTGGAAAACAATCATATTCATCTTGACAACAATGGTTCCTTTTCCCTTGGCAACAAGCAGTTGCCATCAGAGAACTGTGTTTCAGTGCTTTTGAAACTGGTGCACATGTATGAGAGCAATGAGGAAAGGCCTCCATTCACAGGAGTTGGGGGTACTTATTCTTCTTGCCTGACAAGGGCAGTCATCAGTGTATTTCTATGATAAGACAATAGTGCGAAGAAGTTGGAAATTATCTCATTGCTGGGTGGGGAGACTGGACTGGTCCATGGACTAATTTCGCACTAACCCCTTTCCCCATTTTAAAAACATAACTGGAAAAAATGTTAGTGGCCAGAAATCAGTGTCTACTTTTTTGCCTTTTAAAGATGTGGTGGCTCTATGTATTTTATTCTATGTAAAAAGATAATTACTAATGAGGGAGGCTTTAAAAAAAATGGTGGTGGGACAGAGAAGGGTCTTGGTGAGGCTGGGAGGACAACCAAATGGCATGGCCACATTATTCCCATCTTTGCTGTAAGTTTGTTTTCTGTTCTGTTCTTCTCTGTTCTTCTCTTCTCTTTTCTTTCAGTAATAGAATAGGAAATTTCCTGTGCTTTGCTTTGTGATCTAGTAGGAATGTTACATGTGGATCCTTTCATTCAAGATTTTCAGGATAATTCAGGTTGACTTTTCTTTTTCTAAAAGAAAGAAAACTGCCAGTCACATTCTAATGCCACTGAAGAAAAAGTTGTGAAGCAATGGAAAGATCAGACAAGCAAAATGGACTCTTTGAAACAGCCCTTGGAGAGGGCAAGGAGGAGGATGGAACTGGCTCTGTTTCCTCGTCGCCTCTTCCTCTCTGCTTGAACAATATGGAAATGCTGGAAAAGGCCAGGGAGCTCTTCCGTCTCTGTGACAAGGAGGAAAAGGGCTTTATTACCAAAGCTGACATGCAAGTAAGTGGGGGAGCCTCTATCTTTACCTCAGAGGCAAAGCTCTAGTTCTCCTGAGATCCTATATCCATGAGCTCTGCCTGCTCTCAGTAAATATTAAAAACAACAAAAAGGGTTATGTGGCATTTTTAAGACAAACAGATTTGCAATGCATGCGAAGGAGTCTTATAGCACCTTTCAGACAAATTGAGAGAAATAAGATGTTAGCATAAACTTTTGTAGACTGAAGTCTGCTTCATCAGATGCAACCGAGAAAGCACTCTATGAAAGCTACTAACTACTTTCTCTCAGTGTCAAAGGTGCTACAAGACCCCTTGACATATGGGTATTCAAGAGTAACATAGCTATGTCTTTGAATTCTATCCCCATGGAAAGCACTAAGTTCAGCTTGTGGAGTGGAAATCCATTAGATTTGTTGTGACATGAGGCTTTGTGGTCTGCAGCCTACAAATGAGAAATAACAAATGGGGAAACATCTGAAGTTAGAAACATCAGTATTATAAAACCACAAAGAAAATATTTCATCTTTCCAGAATTCTTTGCTAAATAGCATTAAAGTGGTTCTTCTGGAACAAAGGAAAATATTCTGGTTTCAATGAGACTGGGGAGGGGGGTTCCAGACAAGCCCTATATTCCAGGATATGATCCCAGGTTTTCTGCTTTAAACTGAATTATATGAGTCTGTACTGCCAGATAATCTGGGATTAGCAGAAAACCTGGGATCAGATCGTGGAATATAGGGCCTGTCTGGAAGGGCCTGAAAACTTTAAAGCATTAGTTTGCAGCTCAGTAAGAGGTCCAGGTATGTATAGAATCATAGAATCAAAGATTTGGAGGAGACCTCATGGGCCATCCAGTCCAACCCCCTGCCAAGAAGCAGGAATATTGCATTCAAATCACCCCTGACAGATGGCCATCCAGCCTCTGTTTAAAAGCTTCCAAAGAAGGAGCCTCCACCACACTCCGGGGCAGAGAGTTCCACTGCTGAACAGCTCTCACAGTCAGGAAGTTCTTCCTCATGTTCAAATGGAATCTCCTCTCTTGTAGTTTGAAGCCATTGTTCCGTGTCCTAGTCTCCAGGGAAGCAGAAAACAAGCTTGCTCCCTCCTCCCTGTGGCTTCCTCTCACATATTTATACATGGCTATCATATCCCCTCTCAGCCTTCTCTTCTTCAGGCTAAACATGTACTCCCTATGGCTTGTATAGGAACAAAAGCTTCCCAATGCCATCATGTTCATGTTAACAACTGTTATCTGTGGGCATTGCTGAGACCATAATTGACACTGCTGTTATATTCTGCATTTAATTTCTTCCTCCTTTTCTGTTTCCAAGCTTTCTCCCTTCAACCATGTCTAGATATATAAGTGCAACTCAGAATAACACGTCTATCTGCTGTAATATGTGTGCAGTATGTTGCTTGTGACAAACATGTAGAAATGAAGCAACAAATGTCATAATGTGGAGATGCTGTTATCTTTGTGCCTTCAGCTGTATAATGTTTGCATGTTAGATAATAATGAAAGGCACAGAAGTAAAACTACAGCACAACCCTCATTGCACAGTGCAGTGGTTCCCAATCTGTGGTCCATGGACCACCAGTGGCCTGCAAGAAGGAAAATGTGGTCGGTGGCCTCACCATTACTATAACGCAGCAATGGGAGCAACTGGTCCCTGGCCAAAGTAGGCCCTGGTCAAGTGATCCTTGGTCAAAAAAAGATTGGGAACCACAGGCATAGTGGGATGGGCTATATCTTCCAAGATCCCGATGGGTACCTGAAACAATGGGTAATAGGGGGAAATGTGTAGTTTAATTTATTATTTATTTACTTAATATATTTGTATACCACACTTCTCAGCCATAAGGCTATTGATGTTAGGTTTAATTTATTGATGTTAGTGATGTTAGGCTTTAATTTGATGTCTGGCTTTAATGTTATTTTCATATGTGGGGTTTTTTTGGGATTTTATTTCAGTGTTTGTTTGTTTTATGTAGACATTGAATGTTTGCCGTTGTATGTTGGAATCCTTCCTGAGTCTCCATGGGGAGATAGGGCGGAATACAAGTAAAGTTTTATTGTTATTGTTGTTGTTGTTGTTATATAGCAAACCCTATATTTTTACTATACTTCGGCTGGAAGTATAACATAGAATAATACTGGAGAATCTAGAGAGGTCCACAAATATTTTATAGAGCATGAGTAAATGAATCCATAGATAACAGGGTCATATTGTAGTAAAAGGAGGTACAGTGACTTGCACAAAACTGGGCAAAGCTTGCAACCAGAGAACACTATTCTGTTATGTCAAAGCAAATAGCTTGCCACTTGCAAATTGCCTTCTGACAGTTTCCCATGGGTTGTGTGCCATTAAAGCCATTTAAGGATTATATCCTGATTAATTCAACCATGCTAATAGCTAAGCAGATATATCCTGCTCCTTTGGCTGCTTTATCTGAAGAAAGATTTCTTCCTTCAAGAAGACACTTTTTGTTTTCACTTAGTTAACAAGCACTATGTGGGCTTTCTGGGTAAAAGATCTCTCAACTTGCACAATTGAATTTGACCACTTGACTACATTAATAAGGGAAAGCTGGGAAATGGGATAAGCATTTTTTTCGTGATATGTTCTGTTAAGTATAAACCAAAAATCCTGGATTTAAACTTCCTTTCCTTTCTTTCCTTTTCTCACAGCGATTGCAGTGTGAGCTGCCTCTCACCACCGAACAACTAGAAGCTGTTTTTGATAACCTGGAGCAAGACAATAATGGTTATCTCACCCCAGTTGAATTCAGTATGGGACTAGGTAAGGGAGTGCTGGTTATCAATGAGGATATTTCAAACAGTGGTGACAAGTATCTCTTCACGTTCAGGTAGGCTGGGATGGAGAATATGTATTGTTTCGATGCAAATTCCATCAGCCCCAGCAAATGATAGCCAAAGCTCACAATGGATCTCATGGTCTCCACCCTCAACATAACTGTAGAGCATATAAAATAGAAGTGGGCTGTTATGAGTTTTCCAGGCTGTATGGCCATGTTCCAGAAGCATTTTCTCCTGATGTTTTGTCTGCATCTATGGCAGGCATCCTCAGAGGGTGTGAGGTCTGTTGGAAACTAGGAAAATGGAGTTTATCTATCTGTGGAGTAATGCCCAGGGTGGGAGAAAGAACTCTTGTCTGTTTGAGATAGGCATGAATATTTCAATTGGCCACCTTGATTAACATTCAGTGGCCTGGCAGTTTCTAGGTCTGGCTTCTTATTGCCTTGAGGAATCCTTTGTTAGGAGGTGCTTCCATCCAAGGGTAATTCAACCTGCATTAGGCAGGCCCAGTACTGAAGTAGGGAAAATTAATCTATCTGCTCATTACCAGTAAGAATAGATACTCAAATATTTGAGTTGGCTTTTTTTGTGGGGACTTGGTTGCTATTTTTACTAGATGTAAAGTAAATACCACTGTCTTTGCCTGACATTTTTGAGCCATCTCCACAACTGTAGTTCTCAGAGGGGTGAATTCCCATGTAATCTTGCCAGGTTTCATGTTTGCAGAACATGTTTGGGGAATGTGCTTACCTCTTGCCAATGAGTACTATTGTCATGGGGTCATCTTGTGCAGTGCTGTTGCTTTGCCAAGAAGGACTTCTTCTAAGAATAAAGTAACCAATTCCACAATACACAGGGAGGCCCGGTAGCTACAACAAAGCAAGCTAGCTATAGTCAAGCTAGCTTGACTAAATTGTTTTTGCAAGGATGAACTTTCATAGAGAGAGGGAGACCCTTCCAACAGTATTTCTCTGGCCTTGTGCTGATTAGGGGAAGCCAAGTTCTTTTTTTCTTAAGAAAACAGCTTAAGTCAACAGTTCCACAAATCTGATGGGAAGAGGGCAGGTCAAAGCTATCAGAACTAGGCAATCGGGCAAGAAAGTAATGAGAAGTTCTTACTTGAACTGGAACATGACAGTGTTTTGTACAAACTGTGAGTGTCTTAATGTTCTAAGGCCAAGCAGGCAACCAGGGACTTGACCCAGTGACATAACAGGGAGTCAGGAAAGACAATATATAGCTCTGCCAAGAGGTTAAGTTGTAAGACCCTTAGGGGACAAAACCAAGGATGAGCCCTTCTATTTTTTAAATCTTGATTTTTTAAAAATAATTTCTTTTCCATTTAACTCTCACGTGGCCAATTGGTCATAAATGAGAATGAGTTTGTTAGGTCATACAGATTGGGATGAGAAAAGACTCAGGCTTGTGTTTTGGGTTTTTTTTTCATATAAGGAGAACATACAAACAAGTTGGAATAAGGAAAGCTTGGGGAGATGTCCATATTTTCCCTAGCAGTTTCCAAAAACCGTGAGACTTGACTGAAGTTCAGGGCTTATTTTAAATGCTACTGCAAATGTTAGCTTTGGAACATTTGAAATAATATCAGTAAAATAGGATGAGTGTCTCTGAGCATGTGCAGAGTTCATTTCCATCACTATAAAACGGCAGCACACTACCCTAAGTGCAAAGAGGAAATTCCATATGTCTTTTATGTGTCCCCATTAATAACAATTTCAGGTCATTATCCTTGTGGACAACAAGTTAAACATGAGCCAACAATGTGATTTGGCAGCTAAAAAGCCAATGGGATTTTGGGCTTCATAAATAGGAGTCTAGTGTCTAAATCCAGGGACATATTGCTATCCTTCTATTTTGCCTTGGTCAGACCACACCTGGAATCAGACTGTGTCCAATTCTGGGCACCGCAATTGAAGGGAGATGTTGACAAACTGGAATGTGTCCAGAGGAGGGCGACTAAATCATCAAGGGTCTGGAGAACAAGCCCTGTGAGGAGCAGCTTAAAGAGCTGGGCTTGTTTAGTGTGCAGAAGAGAAGGTTGAGAGGAGGCATGTTGGCCATGTATAAAGATGTGAGGGGAAGTCTTAGGGAGGAGGGAGCAGGCTTGTTTTCTGCTGCCCTGGAGACCAGGATGTGGAACAATGGGTTCAAACTAGAGGAAAGGAGATTCCGCCTGAACATTACGAAGAACCTCCCAACTGTGAGAGCTGTTCCGCAGTGGAACTCTCTTCCCCAGAGTGTGGTGGAGACTTTTTCTTTGGAGGCTTTTAAACAGAGGTTGGATGGCCATCTGTTTTGAGTGCGATTTTCCTGCTTCTTGGCAGGGGGTTGGAATGGATGGCCCACGAGGTCTCTTCCAACTCTATGCTTCCAGGTGTTGGGTACTGTTAGACTAAAACTGGGAGAGGTAAGGAAACAATGTAGGAGCTTTCCATAAGAATGTTCTATTCCACCCCCCACCCCCCCAGTGATTTTAGCACTGATGTACCTCACTTATGAGGATTTTGTTCTGTTTGAAAAGACAGTACTGGTTTCCAAGCAACCTTCTGCACTGGCATCTTTCTTTTTAACCAATTTGCAAAAATCACAAGCCTGAAACAGACCAAGAAATTCTCTTCATTTCTGTCTCATCCTTGTGCTACAATTTGATCTTGTCCCTCCTGATATTTATTACTCTCACAGGAAAATTCATTGGAATTGAGCAGTACCAAAGCCCGGAAAACACCAGACATGAGGAGACATTTGAGTCCGGCTGGTCAGATGATTTGGATCAGACAGATGAGGAGGAAAAGAGGTTTTGCTCCCTGCTGGAACAACTAGATGCATCTCAAGTCTTTGAAGAGTAAGGTGGAATTTTCCAGTCCACTCTTCTTTTTGCCTTATCAAAATATGTATATTCTATATTTTAAAAACTCAGGGCACAGTGTAAGAAAATGAATTTGACCAATTTAAAACTGTGAGTATGTAATTTTTTTTTATAAAATCCATTAAGCTTTGAAAGCTTTAGAAAAGAACATTGTTTACTCGGCTAGTGAACAACACCAGCAGAATCCTCAAAGGAAGGAATATTTCACCAAGGGTTGGTGGTGGAGTGACATAGGAAAGAAGTCTCTCTTCCATGTCCTCTTATACACCAACTGATGAGACACAGAGGCAGCCCCTTCCCACAAATCTTAAACCTTTTAAGGGAGAGATACTTCTTTAGGTATCAAGATCCCAACCATTTAGCATTTGAAACCACTATCTGTACCTTGAGTTCAGACTAGAAGTATATTGACAGCCCGTGCAGCTCCTTTCAAACCAATTTGTTTATGGTTTGTGTGGCATTCCAGTTAGTGATTGCATGTTGCTCTTCGCTGCAGCTTTTGAGGCATCTTCAAAGGCAGCTCAACATAGATTGCATTGCTGTAGCCTAAATAGGAAGTTATAAGTGCATGGGCTATTGTGACTTAAGGTCTCCCTCTCTGCGGAGAGCTATAGCTGGCCCCAAGCACTTCAAGAATGCTGGTCCCGAGCACTCTGAGAAAAAAATAATAATCTGGGAATCCTTTGGCAAAGATGAATCCATGAGTTGTTCCAAACTGTGCACCTGCTCTCTCAGGAGGAGCACAGCACCATCCAGGGAAGGTTGCTTATCCAGCTTCAGTACACAAAAATCACTCATGCATATAATCTCTTTGGACACAACAGTTCTTGCTGTAGCCATGTTCAAAAGCATTGCTACAGCATATTATATTATAGCCTCTTGGTTTAAAAATCTGAATGATTTTTCAGAGTTTCTTCCACTCCCTTCTCTTTAGATGTTTTGGTCTCCAAAGGTTCAGAAACTCCAGCCACCTTGATCTTTGGTAAAAGTCTATGGGAGTTGCAACCCAAAACATCAGAGGCCAAAGGTTCTCTACCTCTGTGGTAGATGTTTGTCAATCCACAACATCTTTCATCTCGCAAACAAATTCTCAGTTTAGGTAACTCATCAAGTGTGAACCATGTTGCGTTTACATGTTGAAAACTGCCTTGAGCCCCTGTGAGAAGATAGGGCAAAATACAAATTAAAAATATCATTATTATACTGACACAAAAGCACAGTATGACACAGGAAATGAGATATATATGCTGTATTATTATTATTATTATTATTATTATTATTGAGTTGTTGTAGGTTTTTTGGGTTGTATGGCCATGTTCTAGAAGCTTCTAGAACATGGCCATACAACCCGAAAAACCTGCAACAACCCAGTGATTCCGGCCATGAAAGCCTTCAACAATACATCATCATCATCATCATCATCATCATCATCATTATTATTATTATTAACCAGTGAATCTGTATACAGATTAAAACAAGACTGGTAGTGGTTTTGCAGTGGAAGAGAAAGCATCCTGAAATACTCAAAGCTCCCATTATGAACTTTGAGTTTAAAGAGGCGCATTGTCTACTTCAAGACCTTGAACTAGTCATATCATTTCTTGTTTGCTTTTGTTTCCACCAAAGGCTATGTGTGGAGGGAGGGCGAGGAGGTTTGCTGATAAGAATTAATAGTTGCAAAGTAAGTTAAGCTTTTAGATTTCATTTCTGAGGACTACAAAATTATTCTGCTTGTCATTCCTCCAGTCAGAGTGAGGTCCAGGAGCTTTGGGCTCGCCTTCGGAAAGAACAACCAGAGCTCTTGGCCACTTTTGAAGAATTTATTTTCCGCATTTCCTCATATCTCAAGGATGTACAACAGGAGAAAGAGTCCATGGAACTGGTGTTAAAAAGGTAAGAGAAGAGCAGATTGCAGATGTTACTGTGTGGTAGAAAGATTGCAGTAGAGGCCAGGTCACTAGAACAGGCTGAAGACAATTTGCTGTCTGAAGCAGTGAACCAAAATACTTTTCAGATAATATTATCTCATTGTCATGTCTGTCTGAACTTCTCTCTTGTCCCTAAGGCCAGGTTAAGGTGACTGTGGCCAACAGCAGTTCCAGGATCTTCATTGTCCCCATTTGCAAATCCCCTTTGCATGCCTAAGATGGGAGGAGTGGTTCATAGTACCCCCAGGAGCCTGATCCCAGCTAGGAAGAACATCAAGGCAACAATATGTTTCCTCTTCACAGCTTGAAAAAAATGTTTTCAGAATGGGTGGTAAACACTCCCAATTGCTGTAGGAATGACAGAGAGTAGTGGGGGTGATCCTTGGCTCTTCTCTCCTATGAGTATTTATCTCTTGACTGCATTAGAGAGCAAGAAGTTTATGAAAAATGTCAAGACACATTAGTTTGCCTTTTGATTTTTTCCTTCTTCCTCCTCCCTCCTTATCTTTGCTCTTTGTAAACACAGGCCAAACTCTAGGTAAGTCATGCTACTCACACAGTGGGTCATAGTGCAAGTGGTTTGACACTTTCACTGTGCACACCCAGACACCCAGGACCTCACATCATCTTCCAAATTGGAGCTGCTGCATACTTAACAGCAAACACTAGTGACCCCACATTACTACACCAGCAGGATTTTCCTCTCCACCAATGTTTAATGAGATTTTGGTTGTATCTCCCATACCTAATTCTTTTTTTTTTACTTTTGTGCTACTAGGCGGGAGACAGACCATGACAGAGAAATCAGGTGCCTCTATGAAGAAATGGAGCAGCAAATTAAAGCAGAAAGAGAACACCTGCTCTTCCAGGTAAACTCCTTCCTCACTCTTTGGACAAAAGCTCCTGAGCTGAAGGCCACGTGCTGCTCTCAATTGTTAAATCAAGGAGCCAAATCCTGGATCCTTCCTGCACTCTGGGGACTTATTTTATGGAGGACATGGGAAAGAAGCAAAAAATAAAACCTATTCATCTACTCTTTGCAGGGGTCCACAAAGCAGGACAAGAGCAGCCTGCTCCAGAAGGAGCTGCGGAACAAAGAACAAGAATTTGAGAAAATACTTTATCATCAGAAAAAGGTGGCTTTTTGATCTATGCCCTTCTTTGTTTGGCTGCATTTATTTGCTCTTCATTGAAGTGGTGTGTGCTTGTTTGCTTGAGTCATATACAGAAAACCACAACTTCTGTGTGTGCTCAGAAGATGTAGGGGTGCACTGACATGTCAATTCCATGTACACCACGATGTCTAATAGATCCCCCATCAAGTTGGCTGGCTGTGGCTACTTTGGTGCCAAGAGAATGCTAGGAAAGGTTGCTTTTTTAGCCTACTGCTCCCTGAATTCCCAAGCAAGTATGACTATAGTAGGTTCTGGAAGACGTTAGTCCCTCCCCAAAGAAACAGTTACAATCTATGGGGAAGACGGACAAATAGCTCTTCTAGTTGTTGGGCTACCTGCTGGGGACTTTGTGGTTTTCTGTGTATGACTCAAGCAAACAAGCATGCACACACATACACCACTTTGAGATGTGTTTGGACCACAGGTTGCCTATTCTATCTCTGTGCCTACAGTGCTAAAAGGATAATAATTTATTCCAAATAGTTCATTTCCCAGCTGTGGAGCTGTCTGTGCTCCTCTCCTCGGCTGGCTCCTTAAAACAAAACTGTATATTGAGACCCTCTATATAAAGTTTTGCACAAACAGCCTTCTTGGTAAGTTCCCCTGTGCTGAGTGCAACCCAGGGGTTAGCCTTTTCCTGCAAGGCCCAGGTGAGCTCCTTTTGCAAATGCCTGCTGCCCTCTAGGGCCACATCTGTGGGGTGAATTTAGCGCCCGTTCTAGTTTTGACTCCAGCCAAACAGACCCATCTCCACCAATCTTTTTAGATCAACACATGGCGTTATTACACGATTACATCCTCATGAAGGAATGCAGTAGGGAGATATGGCTGTGTTGTTTGTGTTATCAGGGTTTGTTAGATTAGTTTCTGTGTCAGTATTTGCCCAGGGCTGTTTAAAAGACTCTGTTCAGGTGAAACAGGAGAGAAGGAAGTTGAAATGAGAGCTTTCTCAGTTTCTTTCCTGGCTGAGTTTTCCTGGTAGTCTTTAGCTCTTTTAATTGCAGGAATAAAAAGGCCCAGGGAGTTCTGTTTAGTTATTTTCTTATTTTATGTAAGTCCCGTTTCTCTCCCTGAGTGGGACCAAGGGTAACTGACACAACACAGCTTAAAATAAAGTTAAGGGTTAAGGTTTTCCCTGACATTAAGTCTAGTTGTATTCGACTCTGGGGGATGGTGCTCATCTCAATTTCAAGGCCGAAGAGCCAACGTTGTCTGTAGATACCTCCAAGGTAATGTGGCCAGCATGACTACATGGAGCACCGTTACCTTCCTGTCGGAGCCGTACCTATTGATCTACTCACATTTTCATGTTTCCAAACTGCTAGGTTGGCAGAAGCTGGGCCTAACAGCAGGAGCTCACCCTGCTCTCCGGATTTGAACTGCCAACCTTTTGGTCAGCATGTTCAGCAGCTCAATGATTTAACCCGCTGCACCCCCAGGGGGTCCTATTTTAAAATAAAACATAGAATCATAGAATCATAGAGCTGGAAGAGACCTCATGGGCAATCTAGTTCAACCCCCTGATGGTGCAGTGGGCTAAAAACAGACATAATAGTAAAAAAGATTAAAAATAGATTAACTATCCTAATAAAAGTAGCAACCTTCAAAACAATTTAAAATCATTTAGAGCATAATGATAAGTATGGAACTATAGCTCCTCCCTATTAAAAGATACATTAGCAGCAACTATTAAATAGTCAATGGCCTGTTGGCCTGTTGGATAGAGTGGTGGTTGGAGCCTAGATAAAAATCTTCTCTCAACTAGGAACTTCTTTGATGGACATATTCATGTACAGTCAGCCCTCCATATCCATCAATATGCTTTCATGGTTGGGAACCTGTTCCCAAAAAGAACCTTGATCTTACTAGTTTATCTAAGGCAGTGGTTCTCAACCTGGGGTACCCAGATGTTTTTGGCCTACAACTCCCAGAAATCCCAGCCAGTTTACCAGCTGTTAGGATTTCTGGGAGTTGAAGGCCAAAAACATCTGGGGACCCCAGGTTGAGAACCACTGATCTAAGAGACACCATTTCACTATGCTATTGTATATAATAGAACTTGAACACCCATGAATTTGGGTATCCATTGGAGGAGGGCAGGGGGAACCTGGAACCAAACTCATTGTGTGTGAATGTGTGTGTGTGTGTGTGTGTGTGTGTCCGTGCGTGCATACTGCCTTTGCCATATCATGAGGCTCCTTTCAGGCTGTCCAACTAATGCCTTTGGAATTTTCATTTCTGATCTTTTTTCTAGCTGGAGCATCAGTTACAGTCCCTGAACTCAGAGCAGCTGGAGATAAGAGTGCAAAATGAGAGGCTACAGATTCTGAATGAAAGCCTTCTGGATCAGCTGGAGAGAAGCAGATGGGAGCTGGAGGTAGCCCAGAGTCACCTTCAGCACCTACAGAAAGAAGCCCAGCTTGAACAGGAACAGAAGGACAGGCACGTCAGGGTGGGGTTCTCCAGCGTACTATCAGAAATGCCAGCTACTTTGCCCCATGGCCTTAATTAGTGTGTGTGTATGTTGTGTATGTTGAAATATGGAAAGTAAAGCAATGCCTTGTAGCTGCTGAAGACTGATGTGAACTGTAAGCCCAAACATCTTCCAGAAGCTTCAATGAGGTGCTTAGTTAAAGCCTTTGAATGTCTATGTTGTTTTTCTTCTGCTTCCTCAAAGCTCCTACAGTTTCAGAGGCCACTTAGGGAGTCAGAGGTTTTCTTTTCTCTGTACGCACTAGTGATTAAATCTTTTCCAGTTACATTTTTGAAAAAACAAAGAACAACAACATCGTGAAGTAATTGGCATGAGCAAGCAAGCATTATAGTAGTTAAATTTAAAAACATCTTATTGTCAGAACCCATGAGCCGTAACAGTCTTGGAACAAAATGTAGGTGCAGTTGCCAAGCATTATCATCACAGTGATGAGTCATGTTAATGTTCAGAAATATATGACATCATTGAAACTAGTCCGAGCAGAAATCAAACAAACTTTTTCATTTTGGAGAGGGTATAGACTTGCTAGTTCTAAACTGTTTGAGTCATAAACTGGGTGAAAATATGTAGGGTTAATGGCTTGCAGAACAACAATATAAGTAGTGATGACGATCTTCCACCATCATTCTACTCAGATACAAAGTCCCTGATAGAGTGGTGATAATGTGTAAATGAAACATATAAGGTGTGGTTCATATCCTAGAGGCCAAAAGATATGTATATGTTCAATTGTTGCCTGATGGCTCATCCTTAACAGTAATGAGCACTCTGGGGAGGAGACAGAAGTAGCCCAGGCTTATCTGTCATTTGACACGGGAAGTGAAGTACTGCTACCCCTAAATTACATTGCACTGCCCACTACTAGAGGAGGATAAGGATGTATGGCGCCAGACCTACCCTCTCCACCACCCAAAGAAGAAATGGTGATGCAGTAACAGCACCCATGTCCTCCCCTGGCCAAACAAGATGAAAGTAATGGCAGTACTCTCTCCAGAAGAAAGGAATTGCTAAGTCCTCCAGCAATGTGTAATCTACAGGGAAAGCATACTGTAGAATTGCCTGGAGGACCTAGTAAATTCCTAGAGAAACTGTTTCCCCTGGGTGTAGGTGAGAGAAACTATGGATATGAGATCTGCAGATCTTACCATATTCATTATTTTGAATCATAACCAAACAGTTGTTAGTCTTTGAAGGATGACTCAACTTCACACTTACGATGCTGATCAGTGACATAATTTTTAATTGAATACATTGTTAAATTCTTATTAGGGAGCTGTGGTGGCACAATGGGTTAAACCTTTGTGCCGGCTGAACTGCTGACCTGAAGATGTGAAGGTCAGCAGTTCAAATCTGTGAGATGGGGTGAGCTCCAGTCTGTCAGCTACAACTTCCCATGCAGGAACATGAGAAAAGCTTCTCACAGGATGGTCAAACATCCGGGCGTCCCCTGGGCAACGTCCTTGCAGATGGCCAATTATCTCACACCAGAAGCGACTTGCAGTTTCTCAAGTCACTTATTTAGGATATCCCTTTAGGGCAGCTTCCTCTAACCTGGTGTTAGTTGTTGCCATGCACTACAAATTCCCCTATCCAACACACCTTGTAAGTGGCTACCCGGGAAAGTCAACATAAAAAGGACGAAAACACAGTTTGAAGGAGTTAATAACAAAATCTGCCATTAGGGGCAACAATGACATCCAGATATCCCATCTTTTATAAATCCCAGCTTCTATTTTAAAACTTAACCCTAACTCCATTCCATTTTTTTCCAAAACTGACAAGAAACTAATTTTCCAATTTTAAATATCAATGTTAATTACGGTAATTATTTTTTAAAACTAACATTCCACGCTCTGTATACAATAAACAAATAGTTACATTGCAGAAGAAAAGAAACTATCATTCTTACACTTTAAAAATTATAGCCTTCTTATTTTGTAGTATTAGAGTGTTAAAATTTAAAGTTGCAATCATAATGCTAATAACTTAGTTATGTCTTAATTCTTGAGGTAATTAATCTATAATTACAAATAACGAGTTGTTTGTTTCTAGCCACTTATCAAGAGCTATAAAAAGAGTGAGTTCCTCCACACTTTGAAGTTTCATTTTGAGATCAAGCATGAGGCAAAGAGAAGTGAAGTGTACTACCAGGGGTTTACATTAGCATGCCATTGAGTGCCCAAACCAGAATGTGCTCCCATTAGTGTAACATTATTTAATCCAGCCGCTATAGCCATTTGCTACCAGCAACTCTGGGATTTTGGTCATACTATCAATGCTTACAAAAGACAAAACTTGTAATTCTTGGTACACTGACAGTCCTTTTTTGCCTTTAAAACAGGGATGTGTTTCAAGTCTCTAAGAATATGCAGAAAGAAAAGAAAAGTCTGCTGCGACAACTGGAACTTCTCAGGTAAGAAGCCTATGTTGTTTGGTAAGTTACATTGCACTTTGGAGTAAAGAGACTGGATATTGAACTACTTTGAGGGACAATGTGTATGAGAATTGGTAGAGACTGAGAACTCCATTATTGGATCCTTCACAGTTTAAGGAAGGAGGGATGACAGAGTGATGGGACATATACGGAAATCATTAGAGGGAAGGGGTCGAATGAGAAAAAGTATAGGAAAAGTTGTTACACTTCCTGATGGGAGATTTTGGCACTGGTATTCCAAAAACGCATTCTAACCTCTCCTTGATGTCATAGTGGTGCCAGAATAATGCTTGAATTGGATTCCTATGACTGTATGAGCAGTCGTCTCTGCATTTCTTGCTTCTCCCTCAGCTCTTCAAGAGTTGAGAATTCCCCACTGTAAGTTGGGATATAAATAAGATATAAGCATGCCAGTTTGGTGTTGTGGTTTGAGCATTGGATTATGACTCTGAAAACCAGGATTTGAATCCCTGCTCAGGCATGGAAATGTACTGAGTGACCTTGAACAGAGGAAGGCAAACGCATGCTAGACATAACTTGCAGAAAGAAAAAAAAACCACATGATAGGTTAGCCTCAGGGTTGCTCTCAATCAAAAATGACTTGAAGGTACAGAACAACAAAATAAGTATGTGTATTGTGTTGCAGTGGTTCACAACCTTTGGTCCTCTGGGTGTTTTGGACTTCAGCTCCCACAATTCCTAACAGCTGGTAAGCTAGTTGGGATTTCTGGGAGTTGAAGTCCAAAACATCTGGAGGATGAAAGGTTGAGAACCACTGGAGAGTAACCACCACTCCTTACTTACATGTGCCTCCTTTTCTTTGAGAGCAGGGAGATGAACAAGAAGTTGAGAGATGAGAGGGACGCTTTCGAAGCCAAGAAGCTGGTTAGTCTGAGAAAGAAAATCTTAATCCCCAATCACCTTCCTGTTGCCTGCTGCTGTTGCTGTCATCACCTGGCATCATTCCATTTCCATGGGGGACATTGACCAAGGGATTGTGTGTTTCATAGTCCTCCTTATAGTCCTTTGGGTGCATCTGTGTATATGTCTCTAAATGTTGAAAAACCTTTGTATTCAAACCCAGGCAGTTGCAAAAAGGGCGAATAAGGCCCTTCTACTTCTGATAACTGGACATGAAAGGGTTTGTAACAGAGTGTTCCTTGGATCCAAAGAGAAGAAAGACTCTTTTACACAGTTTAAGCCTTGTACATAAAAAAAATGACAAGCAGGGGAAGCACGGGGGAGTCTCCATCCTTAAAACGGAACCATCAACTCTATTCCAAAGAATACCAAATGGTGTTCCCTGCTTCTTCTCACTGTTCTCGAAGAACTCATATATGCAAGTCTGTAACATGTAATATCACTGTGGTTCTTTTGCTGCATAAACTCATGGCCAGGGCTCGCCCTATCCTGGGAAGAATTTGGATGTCTTGAGTGGTAGGGATAAGCAGTGGCAGCAACATGGTGGAGAACAGAGCTATGTATGCTGTATGGCAGGCCCTCAACCCTTTCAGGTGTATTTCTGGTTTTGGATACAATTTATTTTTATTGGTGTTGAAGTAAGATTCAGTTGCCACCTCGCCCTGTGCTTGGCCAACAAAATGGTTTAGCCCGTTGTGCTTTTCACTTTGCCTTTCCAAATTCTCATACAACTCATAATTAAGAGACTTAAAATTGGGAGGGGGTTGCTCTTCCCTTTCTGCACCTACTTCTGCAATGGGATTGCCCTCCCCATGGTAATTTGTGTGTGTGTGTGTGTGTGTGTGTGTGTCTGTCTTGCATGGGTGAGGTGGTGAACTGTAATGTCTATGAGATATATTGCAATGCACAGCATATTTCAGCAAAAAGACACACAAAATGTGAAGATGAACCAAAAGAAGATACCTGAAGAATACTTGTCTTGCTGTTTACTATCCTGCTGACAAGCAAAAGACAGGAATAAAATATAAAGAGGGAAAAATATTCCTTGTCCACAGCTCTTTCTGTTATATTATGCAAGCACAGGTGGTAGGTATCTGTTTGGACATTTGAATGGAATGTTGTAATTTGTGTATCTGAATTTATCACTGCTCAAAGGTAGGTAGCTAAGGAGAATCTTGGGCAATTCTTGATCCCCTGAAACTTCTGTGAGTTGCATTCAGAAATATATAGCATCCATAGGTTCATGGGAGGTTGCTTCTGGGGTTTTTTATTGTTATTTTGAATCATTTGGGACAGGAGCAAAAAGAGAAATTAAATGAAGAACTGTATTTTTTGAAGGCTATAGAATGCATGATTCTCCATATCTGCTGGCAGAAATGGCAATGGAGTGAGATCACTAGATTTCTCCCTGACCTCATGTGGTCCATACAGTTTCTGGATTACAAAGGCTGTGTTTGCAAGGCAACAAGGACCTCAAGTTGTAATTCTCCACCAGCTACATCACACCTAATGTGTGAAAAGCTGTCATCCACACATTCATATATTAACGGGAATGCAAAGGTGGAGTTCCCATCTTTAGCATAATGATAATCTATTGTTATTGTGTGTGCGTTCGTATCATTTCTAACTTATGATGACCATATCATATGGTTTAATTGGCAGAATATGTTCAGAGAGGGGCTTCTGTTGCCTTTCCATGAGGCTGAAAACATTTGACTTTCCTAAAGTTACTTGATGGCCGAGCAGGGACTAGGACACTAGTCTGTCAGTGTCTTAGTCCAGCACTCAAACCACTATACCACACTGGCTCTCCACATTGAATTAGACACTGAAAAAGCTGCACTTTAATACAATTCATAGAATTTCCTAGCTATCAAAAGCACTGCAGTTGTAGTTTACAAAATGTAAATATGCTGCATTCTGCCCTGAACTGATCAGGTGTGACTTTTGAGGCAGGTGGTGCAAAATATTCTTGTTTGGCAGAGCAACGCTTGTGCAAAAGTAGAACTGGATTGGGTTCTAGATATGAATAAAATCAGAAGAATGTTTTTTCTTTTCCTGACGTTGAGCCCTTTTACTTGGCACAGAGATATCACCGTGATTCTACTTTTCCTACCACATTTTGTGAGGCACAAGAGGTGCTCTCAGGCCCCAAATATTTAATATGTCTCCCTAAACTGAAAATAGGTGATTGTGATCAGAGGCGGCCCTAGGTAATTTTCAATGGTAAGCAAACAGTATTTTGGCGTCCCTCCCCAAGCAATCATTGATATATATTTTCTGTTCGTCATGGGAGTTCTGTGTGCCATATTTGGTTCAATTCCATCATTGGTGGAGTTCAGAATGCTCTTTGATTTTATGTGAACTATACATCCCAGTAACTACAACTCGCATATGTCAAGGTCTATTTTCCCCCAAGAGCGCCTCAAGAGCACCCCTGGGCAAAATCAAGTATACTGCGAATGCTTACTTTGCTTAATGGGTTGAGCCGCCGCTGATTGTGATGGCAGTTAAGATGGAATCATGGCATCGTTATTGTGTAGTATGGCAGTGTACTTACTATGAACAGAATTCTGAAGGTGTTCAAAAAACCGGATGCATCATTGCTTCCTATTGTTTTATTATTTCCATTCTGGATGTGTAAGACTGGTGACGTTTATCGTACTCCTTTATGGAAAATTTACTAAGGTGTTTAAGATAACTCCAGTGAGCCTTTTGATTTAAGGTGCTGTTGTGGTTTCCACCTACAGTGGGTTAGCATCTGTATTGCTTCTTAGCCAACGACTCCTAGCTCCTAGTCAATGTGGGTCTTTTTCCATTGTGATGTAAGGACATGCCATCTGGGTTTGAAGGAATGTTTGTCTTACCAGTGTTGCTTTTTCATTTGGCAGGAAATCCCTGGGTTGTTCTTACTTGCAGTCTTATGCTAGTTTGCCAGTGTTAAGGAAGACATCTCCATGTCTGTTGTAATTCTGTACACTTTAAACTGTGAAGGTCTTGCAATAGTGAGACATTTTCAATAGGTATGAATCAACACTGTAAATAATGGTGATATTGACAAGGTCTAAGTGTCAGCCCCAAAGACTGCATCAATTTTATGGAAATGAAGTACAGGCAAAGTAATGCATTTTTCTATGGTGAATCCTTTGAATGGCACTGTCAATATGAAGATCACAGTAGATGAATTGTTGGTTTTACTTTTCTTTAAATGCAGGGCTAGGAGAGAGGGGAGTGTTACCATTCCTTTAGCACAAGTTACCATCCCGTGAATACTTATTTGGGACCAAGCCTCAGAGCTCCAGGGGTGCTTACGTCTGAGTTAATATCACAGAACACAATGTCTGTATTTCATAATAGAAAACAATAGCTTTGGGTGGAGGTTGGTCACAACTTGGAAAATGTACTTCTGCATCTTCCCCAAGCATGATTTTGTGAGTTGTCATTCAAGCAAACATGATAATATATACAAGGAAAGAGACAGGGGAAAAAAAAGAGACTAACCTCCCCTTTCCCAACTCCCCTTTCTCAACTTGACTCAGTTTTCCTAAAGATGTTTCTAAAATCTTTTCAGGATTATCTATTTTGCATCTTCAATTTATTGTACTAGAATTGTCGGATTGTGTAGCTCTAACTCTTGTTACATTCTGCAAAAATTGGCAAATTAGGTGACTCTACACATGAGATTTATGGCAATTGTGTAAATGAGAAACCTCCAAGAATCTTTAAGAGTGACTCCTTGGAAGTGCAGCTTGTATGTAGAGGTGGTCAAAATCAACAAATTATTGTATTTTCTATTTCTGTTCCTCTCTAGCTATCCTGTTCTTTTGCAGCCATGTCTTGGAATAAACTGGACCCCAACCTGCTATGCCAGACAAAAGGATAATGAGAACAGAACTGGGCAAGAGGCACTGTGGCTTCATCTTGAGGTCATAGAATCATAGAGTTGGAAGACACCTCATGAGCCATCCAGTCCAGCCCCCTGCAGGAAAATCACATCCAAATCAACCCTGACAGATAGCCTCCAAAGAAGGAGCCTCCACCACACTCTGGGGCAGAGAGTTCCACAGCTGAACAGCTCTCACAGGTAGAAAGTTATTCCTAATATTCAGGTGGAGTCTCCTTTCCTGCATATTAAGAAGGACTTCCTAACTGTGAGAGCTGTTCAGCAATGGAACTCTCTGCCCTGGAGTGTGGTGAAGGCTCCTTCTTTGGAACATGTTAGCCTGATTACCTGGTCTGGTTTATCCTTCACAGCGTTGTTGTTCATTCGTTCAGTTGTCTCCGACTCTTCGTGACCTCATGGACCAGCCCACGCCAGAGCTCCCTGTCGCCCGTCACCACCCCCAGCTCCTTCACAGTACAGACTTATAAATGCCTTCTCATAAATCAGTAGCACTTCTTCCTTTCCTGGGAAAGGTGTATAGCAGGGTGACAAATCTGAATGTCTCCAAATGTTGTTGAACTGCATTTTCTATTATTCCTCACTGTTGACTAGATCAGTTGGGGCTTTCAGTCCAGCAACATCTGAAGGGCAGCATGATTTCTGCCCTGAGTATAGAGTGTACAGCTAAGTGATACAGTTTAATCCTTATGGTTTCTCCAGTCTATGTGCCCAGCACTACAGTTCAGAGATAGGCAATTGGCATCAGTTCTGAAGACCATATTGAAAACTTATAATGAACGAGAGAGTGAATCCTTCCAGATGGTGCTTTTATTGTCAGTCCATCTGCCATATTCATGGGGAACAACAATACTGTCTTCCATCTGTAGTCCTCCATTGCTTTCCCAGCACTACATTCTTGTTTTTTCTTACCTCCGAAAATCTGTTGAGAAGGGAGAGGCAGAATAAACTGTAGAATGCCTTTGGACCATTAGCACTAGGAGCTGTCCACCTGGAAGCACCAGTAATAATAGGAGAAAATGCTTGCATTTGTATCATCCATGGATGGTTACATCTGTAGATACAGAATCCATAGAAGTTGAAGGCCAACTGTATGCTGTTGCTAGTACAAAAATTAATATTCATCAGCTGATCCAGTCAGCTGCTATGTATGAAATGGAGGAAGGACAATTTTGCCTTATATTCTACTAGTTTTCTTTCATTTAGTATTTATAGGACTTGATCGTAGCATTTAAATTTTGAGATTGGGAAATACAGTGAAATGACCTTGGCCCCCTCATTGAGTCATCTAACTGTGCATGTTTTACATGCATATATTTTGGGGCTTGAGTTTGAGAAACAGTGAAGAGCAAAGTGCAGCCTATAGGCTACCTGTAACCCAAAGCTATTTTGATGGCCCCAGACCCCCTGCTCATATACATATTGGGGGAGCAGATTTTGCTACTATATGCCATTTTTGTCAGACCCATGAGAAGCATTTTGCTGTCATTTCCATTTCTGAAAAATAAAGACTTTTAAAAAAGACAATGAGGCAATGGGATTAAAATAGATCCCTGAGGGGAAGGAGTAGGGAAGGAAAATGACTAGATTAGCAAGCAGATCCACAGGAGTCCCCAAAGGTGCATTTCTCCTGGTTTCATTTTTATGGGTGGGCCAGAAATGACCTGTGTGACCTTCTGGGGTTCTGGAAGATAGATGGAAGTTCCTCCCCTCTAAATGGCCCAGTTATTTCATAAAGTGTATACCTCTTCTACTTGATGTGGATAAGTTGCATGCAGTGGAATATGATAGGAGTCCCATTCACACTACACAATTCTTGCACTTTCAGTCCACTTTAACTGACATGGTTCTACCCTATGGAATCCTGGAGTTTGTAGTTTGGTGATACACTAAATTCTTCTTTCTAAACTGCAAATCCCAGGGTTACACAAGACAAAATCATGACTGTTAAAGTGGAATGATAGTGCTATAATTCTGTAATGTGAATGAGCCCAAGGTAATTGTGATGCTCCAATGCTAAACCTACATGCAAAGGGTTATGAGTAAAACGATACTGTAAGTAACAACCTCATGATTACAAATGTTCCTAATAGCAGGCATTTCCTCAATTTTCTAACATTTGAAGATTTTCAGATAAAGTTTTACAGGTAACTGCATAGAGTTCAATGAAGCTATTACATAGAACTCTGCCATCTGTTTGCTACAAATGTTGAGACTCCCCCTGCCCAGACCTCTGTAGAAATTCTGCTGTAGTTACAATATGAGCCAGCAATCCGGGTTTCTACAATAAAATGTCATATCCTTTGTTAATCACCTTCATTAAATATTTTATGTTTGCGTTTTCTGTCATTGCAGTGCAATGTTTGTATCTTTATCATCTGTTTAAATGCCAGAGTTACAATGAGCCAATAAAGCCAACTAGACCCAGAGAAACAACTATGGAACTGTTGCCTTCATATTTAAAGTGTGTTCCTTTTGCATGATCGCATTTTACTAGATCGTTTAGAAGGCCTACCAGAGTTTTCATGACAGGAACATATATTTAGTTTCCTAATACTAAGAAATTCACTTGATTGAAAACAAAATCTCTACATGAACAATTTTGATTTTGAATCTTTGTGTCTTTTTCCATAATGATTGAAGCCAACAGTTTGCAGCATAATAAGTGTGTGTGTGCATGTGGTATGTGATTCATCTGATGTGGTGTTTCAAATGCTTTGATTACAGAATGTATTGATTTTGAGGGTTATATTTTAAATCTAGGAAATCTGCCCAGGAGATCACCCATTGTTGTGTGTTTTTATGTAGACTAAAGTAAGACCCAGGTTACTGTGTTTGGCTCAGAAATATTGTTGGATTGCAGTTGCTGGAATCCTCCAACTAGGATGGCGGTTGGCCATATTAGTTTGTGAATTCTGGGAGTTGTATTCTAATGAAGTTACATTTCTGAGTTCTGGATTTGTCATTTTTATATGATGAATTCTAACTTGCTCTTTCTAATTTTCAGACCATTACTGAGAGGAAAAAGTCCCTGTGGAAGAAAGGGTCAATGATAGGCAAATACCTAGTGGAAGAGAAGCCAGCCAAATGGTTTGAGCACAGCATGTCGTTTTGTGTTACGTCCCACCATATGCTGTCATCCATAGTCACCATAGATGTTTGGTGTTTTCTGTTTCTTCTTTTTAAGTGAAGTAATGTTGGTAGTGGAGTGGTCTAAGGGGCAATAGGTGTGGATTGCTTTGTAATGAAAAGGGACTCTATGGCATATGGGACACTAATGCAAAGATGGAACAGATAGGCCAGTAGAGGGAAAGTGAGTTGTATTTTATCACAAGGTGGGATGTAACAGGTATACTCTTCTATTTCCTAAAATATAATTCATTTGCTAAAGGAAAAGGGAAGAACAACACCCATGGACTCTTAGTAGGATCCCATTCTCCTCTGGAAATGTTCCACTGTGAACAAAGGTAGCATGCGGGTGGAGCTAGAGAAACAACTAGGATAATCAAGGTGACTGGTCAAAAATTACAGAATTACAGTTGGCCCTCCACATTTGCAATTTTAATATTTCCAGATCTGATTATTTATTGACTTGCTTAATATGGTCTATCTAGGAATGTCTAATTTCTCCAGTGTGACTCTATGGTCAACTTTCTGCAGATGTTCACTATAGAGTTGTGCTGGAGGATGTAGATTCCCAGATAGGCGTTTTATCAGAAACAAAATCTTTCATGCTTTTCCCAATTCATGTGAGTCCTAACACCAACGAATGGAGAGTTGACTGTACGTATTATTACTGTTGCTGCAGCTAGACTAAACCCCACACATTTTTCTGCTGAGACAGAATATCAATTTCATGGAGTCCATTATGGGTCTGTTGCTCCTCCCCTTTTCTCCTCCCATATTTACTCCTATCAGTTTCTTGTCTTCATCTCAATATTCAAATTTTAGATACTTTTTCTGTAAGAACTCATCCTGATTACATTGACCCTTTTGGACTTTCCTTCCTGTTACTTTGGGTTTGGACACAGTCAGCTTTTTCCTGGAGATTTTCCTCTTGTCCTGCCCGAAGATACTATAATGGAAGAACCTACCAACAACAATTGTAAATTCTTTCTGAAAAGCACGACCAATTTGAAGGATGGAAGAGGAGCTAATCTATCAGCGGAACAATGTACAGCTTTTAGGAAAGCAACAGAGAAGCAGAAAATTTCGGGAAGTGGTGGGACCCCAAGGTCTCTGAACAACAATAAGAATAGGAGAGAGATGCATGAGACCATGGATTTTATGTTCCCAAAGGGGAAGCCCATGGGCTATGATGCTAAGGTGGGTCCAGCTCTCTGAGTTCCTATTTTCTCATTGTCCTTTACTGTTGAGTCTTGACACAAATGAGATATTTCATTTCTAGTAAGGTCCTGTCCCAAATCTAAGCAGGACCACACAAGGTGCCTTGAGATACAACTCAGGCTATATACTTGCAGAATCATCAAGTCTTTTGCTCTGAGAAAAGCAATAGCTCAACTAAGGTTTCTCATTATTTTAGACCAGATATCTCCTTGTAGTCTCCACTTCCCTGGCTATGGCTTCTTAAAAGGTGAACATTTATAAGCATTTATATGTCTCAGATCCTTCTTTCTTAAAGTATTCCTGAAGCAGATGTCGTAGAAGGGGGTATGCTTAGGGAAACTGGTCTCAAGAAGACAACGATGAATGTCAGCTTTAGGCTATGGACTTCAATTACTTGCATAGAACTATAGTTCACTTTCCACCTCCATCTACAATGATTGATTTTCACTGAAGTTGGGCCTATAGTTACATGATGATATTAGTACTCAGGACTGGGAATGTGTGGCCTTCCATATGTTGTTGGTGCTGGATAATCTGGAAGGCCACTCGGTTCTTAACTTCATTACTGATGACAGCAAGTATATCTCCTAATGTTAAAGTGACATTTCACTGGAACTTTAATTTGAGCAGGGAGGAATCCTTCAGCAAAACTTTTGACACTTCTGTTTGTTTACTTGGGACCTCATCACATTAAGAAATAGTTCCTTTCAATCATAGAGATTTGGTTTTTTTGCGAATGCATACTATGTTTTCAAAGGAGATACATACTGACCTTATCACACCCAAATGCTATGATCATTACCTTCAGAAAATACTTCACTTTGACTCATCACACCATGGAAGACTGGCTCCTCCCAATCCATTTGAAAGCCATTTGAAATTTGAAATTGTTTCAATTAGGCGAATAGAGGGATATTATAGTCCTAGTAGTAATGACATTTTGTATCCAAGAAGAGATGGAGAAAACTGAATGACTAGATCAGGAGGATCCACATTTATCATGGTTCTCAACCTGGGGACACCAGATGTGTTTGGCCTACAATTCCCAGAAATCCCAGCCAGTGTACCAGCTGTTAGGATTTCTGAGAGTTGAAGGCCAAAAACATCTGGGAACTCCATGTAGAGAACCACTGAGAGGATCATTCTGGTCTTCTGAGAACAAAACAGTTGGATTGTGCGAGTTTGAGGGTTAGCCCTGAGGTTTCACCAGATACACTAAAGGGAAAGGTAAATGACAAACTTGGCTTCGAAGTAAGACATTGCACCAGCAAATAAGTGTGCATTTGTTTGTAGTTAATGTTCCCATTGTCTGTTCCTGGCTATCTTCTCAGAACAATTTATATCCCAGTTTTATGAACTCTTAAAAAAATCCTTTTCTTGATGACTGTTACTGATTCCAGAGATATGAATCTTCTCCTGATCGTGTCTTCAAAGTGGTGTTTCTTGGTAACTCTGGAGTTGGCAAGACCTCCTTCATCCATCACTTTTGCTACAGCAGATTCTTGACTGAAATCAGTTCCACCATTGGTAATGAAAATATTTCCAAATGTTAAGATAAGGGATGGGATGGACATTAAGATAAAGATATTAAGTGATTCTTGTGTGATTTAAAAACTTTTTTTGCAATACTGTGAGGTTATCTGTATTTTATTTTTGAGATCTGAGGATGCATTGTTTTGCTCCAATTAAATTATAGCATACTCTTCTCTGGACCAAACTTTCCTTGAGATAAAAAATGCCTCTTTTATTTCCTTCCAGGCATCGATTACCAGGTGAAGAGTTTGATGGTTGACAATATGCAGGTGGTTTTACAGCTATGGGATACGGCTGGGCAGGAAAGGTAAAGTACTTTGTGGTATTTGGCCCAAGTGACATAGATTGCCTCAGAAGTTGGTAGACTCTCCTTCACAAGAGAAACTTAAGTAGAGATTGGATGGCCATCTGTTGATACTTTCATTGTTTATTTCCTATATTAGATTGGACTAAATGGCTTCCGCCTCTACAGTTCTGTTTTTCCAATCGAATAAGAATATATTGGTGATGAAAAACACATTACAGTAAATAAGAGATCTGCCTTGAAGTCCAACTGGGGATAATGGACTGTTAGCATTCCTGGGATGCCCTATACCAGTGGTTCTCAAACTCTGCTCTGTGGAGTCCTTAGGGCTCCTTGTCATTTAGGCCTTTGTCTGAGAGGTGCTGCAACTCCTTGTGTGAATGGAAACAGTCCCAAGGCCCCACCCCACAAACCTGCACCCCATTCCCTTCCCTCCCTTCCCTTCCTTTCATCCCTTCCCTTCAGTGGCAGAGTAAGCGAATGTGCCCATGTGATCCTGGTGGTGACAACTCCTGGCTCTGCTCTTCCAGATGCCATGAATCTTTTAAAATATTGTTCCTTTTATATATTTTATTATAATAATATTATACACTGTATAAACTTCTCAATTATAATAATATAAAAACATATGTTGTGCCTTGGACCACAAGAAGATCAAACCAGTCCATATTCCAGGAAATAATGCCTGGCTGCTCACTGGAGGAAAGGATTTTAGAGACAACAATGTACTTTGGCCACATAATGAGAAGACAGGAAAGCTTGGAGAAGACAATAATGCTGGGGGAAAAGGAAGGAAAAAGGAAGAGGGGCCAACCAAGGGCAAGATGGATGGATGGCATCCTTGAAGTTACTGGCTTGACTTTGAAGGAGCTGAAGGTGACGGTGGCCAACAGGAACCTCTGGTGTGGGCTGGTCCATGAAGTCAAAAAGAGTTGGAAGAGACTGAAACAACAACAAAAACATACACACACACACACACACTATAATATAATATATAAACATTTCTTAATTATAATCATATATAAACAGTTACTAATATATATAAACAGTTACTAATATAATATAATATATATACATTATATATTTTATAATGTATAATATATAAACATTTCTTGGGGTTCCAGAGTTTGAGAAACTCTGTCCTATACTTATCCATATAAAATGGTATCTTTGGCCACTTTAAATATGTACATGTCAAGCAGAGCTAGATGTCATGTGCAGAAATATATGACAAACTCTGATTATCAAGGATTTAAAAATATTATTTGTTTAAACTTTTTAAGATGAGAGGCCATTTAGAGCACAACTGACTTGGGCAGAAACTGACTTGAAGCAGTGGTTCTGAACCTTTTGTCTCACAAATGTTTTCAGTGTCAAATTCCAGAAGCGGTATGACCAATCATAAAAAATTATGAAGTCCATACCATCTGGAGAATCAAAGGTTGACAACTGCTGACTTGGAGGAATAGTGATGGCAGCAGACAGCGTCAAACAGCCTTCCTGCCCACACAACCTCTTGTCCATGTTGAAGCTACCCTTTTCTTTTTAGCCAGCCAGTTGGATTTCTAAATAGTGGTTTATAACTGTAGCAGCTGGCAGCTCCCAGCATCTCTCTAAACAGGAGCTTTACACTGAACACATGCAGCTCTCTAGGTGCTATTCCTTCTATAAATCAAGGACTCTAACCTGAAGATACACTAAGAGAGGTGCCCATTAGAAAGGATGAGGAATTAATCGATGAGTACAAAAAAGTTTATAAATGTATTATGAGCAGGATGGTGAATCCACCTGGGTTTTAGTCAGAACATTAAATTAGTTATCCAAGCCACTGAGCCTATTTAGGGAGAATTCCACCTTGGACAACAACTTTAAAACTTGGAGTGGATTGCCTCCCCTCCCTGACATGGGAGCCACCAACTTTTTGTAATTCTGAGGTAGACTCTGAGGTGTCTTTATTACAGGCACACTAACAAGTCACTGGTGATGTAGGCTGGGCCATTGCTTTAGGTGTACAGGTACAGGTTGAGCATCCCTTATCCAGATTTCTGAATTATGGAATCTTTCAAAATCAAAAATTGTCTGCATGAGATAGTGACACCTTTACTTTGTGATGATTCAATGTACACAAACTTTATGTTGTGCACAATTTTTTTAAACCCACTTCCAAGAATATTATGTATGTACAGTATATTCTGGCGTATAAGACTACTTTTTAACCCAAGAAAATCTTCTCAAAAGTCAGGGGTCGTCTTATACGCGGGTGTAGTCTTATGCATGGGAGTTGTCTTAACTCTATATTTTAACTGGAAAAGTTGGGGGTCGTCTTATACGCCCAGTCGTCTTATATGCCGGAATATACGGTATATATAAATACATGCATTCCAAAATCCAAACAAATTGGAAATCCAAAACTGTCCAAGGCATATTCAGATACTCAATGGTACTGAATATTTTATATTATCTCCATATATATATACATTAGGTTGATTGAAAACAGCTAAGATAATTCCTAGGCTGCCTACTTTATTGTAAACATTTACAGTGAATCATCCAATGTTGCTATGACCTGCTCCTTATGATATGAATAAATCAAGAAGAAAAACAACATTGATGTCGGAGAGCTGCTCTGAAATGTCAAAGGCAGGTCAATATTATTAACAAAACAGCCCTTCTCTTTGAAAACATTTTTCCAGCTTGTTTGAAAACAGAATATTTTGTTTTGTCAGTGAGGTGGGCAAGATCCACCTCTCTTAGATCCTCCTTTTCTCTCCTCCCATTTAAAGATGCTTTACAGAACACAAGCTAATATCTTTAGGGGAATCCACTGCTTGAGATGAGAGGTTCATTGAAATGGTACATATAACATTTCCAAGTCATTTGGTGGAACTATGCTGTCTGCCACTTGTAGAAGCAGAGGAGCAAGGGGAGGCAAGATGGCATACTAACAGGTGTAAAAAATCACCAGGGGTCATAGTAGTACATCTCTTTAACTTGGGTCCAGAGGAAGCCATTATCATACTAGATCAAATTCTTTGTCCATCTAGCTGAGTGGTTCCCAACCTTTTTTTGACCAGGGCCACTTGAACAGGGACCACCTTGACTAGGGACACTTAGACCAGGGACTACCTGACCAGGGACCACTTTGACCAGGGCCCACTTTGACTGGTGCCTACATTGACCATGGCCCACATTGACCAGGGCCCACTTGACCAGGGACTATTTTGACTGGGGACAACTCTCCAACATTAGTACCAAAAAGGACAGGGCTGGTTAGCTCGGCCGAAAGAAAATAAGTAAATAAAGAGAAAGGAGGTTTGCGGACTGATTTTCATTCTTTTGGCCCACTGCAGGGCCATGGCCCACAGATTGAGAACCACTGATCTAGCTAATATTGTCCAGTCTGACCAGTAGTTATTCTGTGGATTGTCAACTGGAAGTGTACACCTAACACCTCATTAAGAGGTGAAGAGGCCAGAAATTGAACCAAGAGAGGCAGGTCTGCTTTGCTGGAAAAGGTGACTTTTTTGGACAGTTCCCAGAATCCTGCAGCCAGCATTGCTACTGTAACTTTCCCAAGTTCTGTTTCAAACATTGAACCATGTCTGGTCATGATTTTCGAATGGTCAGGTTTTGGCGCTAACATTGTTTGGGAAGCTGCTGTCTGAATGCTTCCCAGTTATTCGTTCAGTTGGTCTGAATGACCGCTAGGGAAGTAGTATATTCGTTGAATTTCCAATGAACCCACCTGAAAGATACTTTTTTTTACATCTTTTTTTAGACTTGCTCAAGTCATTCTGTGAGTTTTATGTCTTAGCAGGATATCTTAAATTCCAGTTCACTATGCTGCCCACTAAACTATACTTGTCCATGAGGAATTAGCTCTATATATGCAGGGAACTGCAGTGCACAATGGGTTAAACCCTTGTGCTGACTGAATTGTTGACCTGAAGGTTGGCAGTTCAAATCCGTGAGACAGGGTGAGCAACCATCGGGCCATGAGAGAAGCCTCCCACAGGATGGTAACACATCTGGGCATCTCCTGGGCAACGTACTTGCAGACAGCCAATTCTCTCACACCAGAATTGGCCTGCAGTTTTTCAAGTTGCTTCTGACACAATAAAAAGCTATATATATTATTAAATGTTTAAAAAAGCCATCAGTTTTTGAGAAATGCATGCTTTTAGCAATATGAAGTTTCTGCAGAGGGCTATCCACACTCAGTGTGGGGAGGACTGTCATCCATTAATATGTTTAAGGTTCTTGGCTTTCATTTGGCTTTAGATTCCGGAGCATCACGAAGCAGTATTTCCGAAGAGTAGATGGCATCCTGGTCATGTATGACACCACAGCTGAATCCACCTTTGTGGCTGTCCGGAACTGGATGTCATGTGCCCAGGTTAGAATAGATTACTATGAGATGCAGACATCCTGGTGTTATAAAGGTTTTTTTGCCCTTCTTTTGGTACTGTGGTTTTCCCAAAGGGGTTCTGCCAGTGTGAGGGTTAGGGTTAGGGTTCCCTTGAAGCAATGTTGAGGAGGAACTTTTGGCCCTGACTCACAGAAGTGGAATGGCATAAGCAGTGTTACTGGTGACTTTGATAACAACTGAATTCTAGTTTTGTTAGAGGGAAAATATCCTGAGAGATTATTGGAATGAAAGAGCATTTACTCCAGTTGCAGCAAAGGTGCCATCTTAGGATGGTGAGTTTGAACAAACCAAATTGGAAGTAGAAAAATAAGAGAAGAACATTTATTAAGGGAATACATTCTTGGATAGTGATAGCCTGATCCTATCTAAACTAATATAAAAGAGAAAAGGATGGGAGAACGACATGTTGCAACATATTCTCACTCATCAAAAAGCAGATGAGGGTCAGAAATGGAAGAGTTTAGTCTGGCCTGGTTCTTTTACAACAGAAGGCAGTAATTTAATTAATCCTGACTGAGACATACATTGTTATCTTCTCCAACCACTTCTGGGATAGGTGGCTTACAGAGTAAGGAAAACCAAGCAGGAAAGGAAGATAATACACCCTAATCCTTCATGTTCTAAGCCATCACATCCCTAGTGGACAGGAGACCAGCAAGAAGAAGTGCAGAAGCAACCATTACTACAATAAGTTTAATTTTTTTTTTTTGCAGTTCAGGGATTCAAGGAGCATGTGTGGCTATCCTGTCTCTGCTATATCATTTCTAAAGTTACACTGAAGAGGAGCCTCTGGTGGCACTGATGAGAGGGAAATCTGAAAGGAGAAGTGTAAAAGACAAAGTTCTGGAGAAGCAACCTTCCCATCAGTTTAGACAATGTTGTAACTGAGTCCCAATTCCTTAACTGAAACTCTTTTTAAAATGTAGTTCTTTATGGTTTTCCCTCATCTACTTTAGCAAAAATTATTGCTTACTCAGAATATACATATCAGTAAGATTCCCATGAACAGAATGATCTTCATATGTCACCAGTTAACCTGGTTCTGGAGTCCCAGTGAACCAGAATCTGAACTAAAGCTAATCAAGTGCTTTGTTGAAGGCTCTCATGGCCAGAATCACTGGGTTGTTGTAGGTTTTTCAGGCCATATGGCCATGTTCTAGTAGTATTCTCTCCTCACAACCTCTGAGGATGCCTGCCATAGAAGCAGGCGAAACGCCAGGAAAGAATGCTTCTAGAACATGGCCATACAGCCTGAAAAATCTACAACAACCCAGTGATCAAGTGCTCTCTACATATCAGTAGCGTCATAACTGGATCTGAGAGAAAGAGTTACCTTTTGCTTTCCTGTCTATGTCAATCTAATGCTTTGGACAGCATTTTGCGGTTTCTGGTTGGTTGTTGTTTTGCAGGATGGGGTTGAAGATGATGTAGTGATGTTTCTGCTTGGAAACAAAATGGACATAGCTGATAAACAGAAACCCAAAATACCCAGGACTGCAGGTGAAAGGCTGGCAAAGGTATGTCAGGACTGTGGTTCCATGACAGAACACATGCAAAAAGTCTCAGGTTCAATCTATCCCCATATGTTCAGTAGCTGATTTAAACTTTGGAGTTGATTCTGAAATGGATGCTCCATCCTACTGACATGGGAGTTGTTGGTTGTTAAAGAAGTAAACATATCAGTTGGTCTGTCTGTATTCATATGTTTCTTACAAACTTATCAAAACAAGGCTTTTGAATTGTGGTGTTGTAGGATAATCTCCAGCACTCTGTCCCAGAAGCACTTTATTAGAGTTTAATACTCTCTGCACATTGCACTTGCCCAGAACTCCAACATACCACCTCACACACCCGGCACTTTTAACCTGTACCCATCATTGGCCCGGCCCTGATTTTATTGTGTAATAGTAATGTTTTGTTGTGTTATTGCTTATGTTTTTAATTTGCTTGCATTGTTATTGTTTGTTCTTGTTGTGTTGAGGCCTTGGCCTTTGTAAGCCGCATTGAGTCCTTCGGGAGATGCTAGTGGGGTACAAATAAAGTTTAATAATAATAATAATAATAATAATAATAATAATAATAATAATAATAACAACAACAACAACAATGTAAGGAACAGGTTAATGGCAGCAACTCAGTGCTACTCTGCTCAAGTAACTGTGAGTTAGCTCTATGTCCCAAGACCCCATCCTCGTAAATTTCTTAGAATGGAGCTCTCTTTTCTTGTGGAGGTTGCAAATCTATGCTGAAGTTTTTTTTATAAATGGTCTCCTGGAGAACAATTCCATGTGAATGAGTCTTGAACCTGATGTGTGCTGTAGATGTATGCCCCATTGGTACTAATCACAGTTTGCCAAAATCCCCATGAACCTCAGTATTAGAGTAGTCACAATGGTAAGAGATCAGAAGTTGGCCTGTGTGTTGCCAGCTGGCTTCTTTCTGCAAACACCCCTGGCCTGAATCTTTGTATGCTATCAAACAAGACAGTTATTAATCTGAGTGCTTTTGATTAATCTTTCTTGGCCATTGCATACTGTATGTATACTCCACAGGGAGCAGCTATAAACCTCAACTCTCTTACAAATATGTTTAATATCTTATTCAGTAATGTATGGATTTAAATGCACAATGCACAAAGCAGATCTAATGGGAAGGCAAATTATCATTTTCTTTTGTTGAAATGTGTCATTAGTGTCTCACTAGGAACTGTAAACAGCACTTAGGAAGGTGAAGTGTCTTCTCTATTAATGGAGGGAATTACAGTGAGCCAACATTCATAACAGAAGCTGCCTTGTGCCAGCAGGATTTGCTGGCTGACAGGTCAGCGGTTTGAATCCAGGGTGAGTGGGTTGAGCTCCCTCTGTCAGCTCCAGTTCCCCATGCGGGGACATGAGAGAAGCCTCCCACAAGGATGGCAAAACATCAAACATCACCTGGGCAACGTCCTTGCAGATGGCCAATTCTCTCACACCAGACGAGACTTGCAGTTTCTCAAGTGGCTCCTGACATGAACCCCCCCCCCCCCAAATAATGGGATTAGGGGCACGGGACTCACAAACATGCAAATAAAAAACCAGAGAGAACACTTCTCAAGGAATCTCTAGGTCCTGCCAGAACTTGACCATAGTGTTTCACTAGGGAACCTAAAGATTCCTAGAGATTCCATATTAATTAAATCCACAGAAGGTAAGTCCACAAATGTGGAGCACCAACTGTATAAAGAAACAGTAGAATTGCCATTTCAGTAGCCATCTAGCTAATAGTGATTGACTGTGGTTTATCTTCCATCTCCCTCCTTAATCTGTCTTTCTCTCTCTTTAGGAATATAAGGCTGTTTTCTATGAGTGCAGTGCAATGACTGGCTATAACATTCTGGAGCCCATGCTGCATATGGCAAGGTTTGTACAAATATGCCCTTGTCACTGGAAAAGGAGTAGGGGCAGGTTTGGTTCTCCGACCAGTTGCAGCAAAATGCATAGAATCATTTCTGGATAAAGGCTATACAAAAGGACAATAGATAACATTTCAAGGCCACTTAATGCCTGTGTTTTAGTTCCATTGAAACATTCTCTTTTTCTGATTTTGGCATTGGGAGCCAACTAGGAGACCTCCAGATTGCAACTCTCATGATCCTTCACCATTGGCTACAAAGCTGAATGGAACTGTATTCTCATATTATATGAAGGACCAAACTACAATATACAATATTCTTGTGAGACAGACTGTTAGCATCTCTTTTCCTTGTTTGGGGAAAGGAAGGATAACGTGTATGATGCCCCTCATTCATAAAATGTTTTTCAAGAATATTCATTTTATGATTATGTACCATCCAAGTGATCACATACGCACACATTATTACATTCAGCTGAGTTTAGATTAATTTAATTCCCATGTGTCTGAATGCAAATACAGGCTGAGTATCCTTTTTTGGACTTTTTTCCCCACCAAATTTTGGAATACTTGGCCTAGACATAATGAGCTATCTTGGAGATGGGACCCAAGTATTAACCCACAACATTCATTTGTTTCTAATACACTTTATGTACATAATCTGCAGGTAAGTTTATACACACATTTAAAAAATAATTTTATGCATGAAACAAAGTTTGTGACCATCAGAAAGCAAAGGTGTGGACAATTTTGGAGTATTTTGGATGTTGGAATTCTAGATAAGGGATACTCAGACTCTACTTGAGTACCCTGATCCATGTGACTCTATAATCACATTAAACACAAGCATATGTGTAAGTGTGTTAAAGATGCACCCTTTCATTTCAGTGATGGTATTGTCAAATGTTAAGTCTGTGGTTCAGGATGATCAAATCTTTTCCTAAAGTCACATGGTTCACACTCTTGTTACATCCTGTATAGACTACTGCAATGTGCTCTATGTGGGGTTGCCTTTGAAGACTGTTCGGAAGTTTGAAATGGTCCAACGGCAGCAGCCAGATTACTCACCGGCGTGACGTACAGGGAGCATACAATCCCCCTGCTTTACCAGCAATCCCCTTCCCCTCTTTTCCAGCTTAGTCCTCTCCTTCTCTCTGATGCTGACCTGCCAATGTGTTTGTTTCAGACTTCTGACAGCGCACGAGGACAGGCAGAGAGAGTGGGCACTGCACCTGGAGGAATGCAACAATGGAAAGGGATGCTGTTTGTAACAGACCTCATTCAAGAACATGTCATAAAATAAACGAGTTGAAGAGAGAGACAGAATGAGCTGTCTCTGAGAAAGATATGGATAGATGTTCCTGGGAGCATTGGGACTGCCGGAAGATGAACAATTCCTTTTTTATCCTTAGAAAATTTTTGACATGGCATCATTTGTAGCTGAAAATCATCCATATATTATCCACATTGCTTCAGGTATTAGCCTGGGTTGCAGCTCAGGGATTCAACATTTATTAGTGTGTCTTTATAAGTTCCGTTTGTTGGTTTATACAAACGTACTTAGGAAAAAATGAGAAAAAATACATTTCTGTGTAAGTACACCAGGTTCATTTAATTATAAATAGAACAATTTAAATAAAGGAGCACCAGTGTGTTTATTTGATGCTTCAAAGCTGCTTACGGTGAGTTCGATTGCAGGGACACTGAGCCTCAGTCTGTGGATTCTGACAGTGATGAGCCAGCCTGGCTACATGCAATTGCTTCAGAGCTGGCCCAAAACGGTTTGTTGAATACTACAGATAAAACCCTAGACACATGGGACCAAGATACATCAGTTTGGTCAATATGGCAAAAGTTATCAATGAGGAATTATTCCATAGCAGTGAGCCATGTCAGGTTTTTTTCATGTCAGGAGCGACTTGAGAAACTGCAAGTTGCTTCTGGTGTGAGAGAATTGGCTGTCTGCAAGGATGTTGCCCTGGGGACGCCTGGATGGTTTTGCTGTTTTACCATCCTTGTGGGAGGCTTCTCTCATGTCCCCACATGGGGAGTTAGAGATGTCAAAGGGAGCTCATCCGTGCTCTCCCTGGATTCGAACCTCCAACCTGTCTACCTTCAGTCCTGCCAGCACAAGGGTTTAACCCATTGTACTACTGGGGGCTCTGACCATGTCAGTGAAAGTGGTGTCAAACTGCATTAATTCTACAGTGTAGATGCACCTCCGGTCTATGAAAGCTTAGGCTACCAACTTAGTTCTTTTGGTGAGCTTCTAAGGTGCTACAAGTCCCTTTTCCAATACATAGTCATCTTTGTAGCACTATTATCATAATAGTAAATGCCTCCACAAGCCAGCAGCTGCATTGCTAATCAGAACACAAGAAAGATGACATTTCCAGAATCTCCCATCAGTTAGAAGCAGGATCCCCATCACAATTCCTTCTTGCATCCTTGCTTGCTGGAGCAGTCCAGGAGATGTTACTGCATTTCACATTCATAAATAAGCAGTTGACAAAGAATATCAGTCTGAAATTTTTGACAACTCCTCTATCAAAACATTTATTTTAATAATGCCTTGCTCGCCCTTTTCTAACAGAGTGCATATAGATAGATGACTCTTAGCCCTGCCAGTCAAACAGACATTACACAGCTATTCTGTCATTTCTCTTTCACTTTTTTAAAACTAAAAAAAGTAGAAGTAGTACTGAGATAACACCACCATGTTACAAACTGAAGATAACATATGCCTTGTCTGGTTGGCCTATAAAACTCCATGAATGGGACAGGGTGCCTGAATGATGGAAGCACTGCCTGGAAGCAGCGAGACTGAGGACTTGATCTGCAGATATTCGCTTCATTCACAGTTTTCAAATACAATGACTGAAGGTATCTGGCATGTAGCTACCCCCAACTAACCTTAAATGTGATATAGCCATCGTCAACATTGTCATTTCTGTATTGTTGGAAAGCAGTGAGATCAATGAAGATGTATCCAACTATTTTCCTGTAACCAGATGAGCTGCAATAAATATTTCCAGGGATCTCTAGGATGTCCCTGCAGATTATATTATTGCAGCTAAGGATAAGTAAAATTCATCACCACCCATCTTCCTGCTCCATCAACTATATTATAATAGTTATGTTGGTGAGGGCTGTGTCATTTAAAAGCTGAGTTTTGGGGACATTTTGATTGTTGCACAGACATTAAAGAACCTCCGCCTTTCTTAGGGCCCTTCCACAGAGCTGAATAAAATCCTACATTATCTGCTTTGAATTCGAATATATTGCAGTGTGGACTCAGCTAACCCAAGGCCCTTCCACACAGCCCTATATCCCAGAGTATCAAGGCAGAAAATCCCACAATATCTCCTTTGAACTGGGTTATCTGAGTCCACACTCAGATTATGTGGGATTTCTTGCCTTGATATTCTGGAATATAGGGCTGTGTGGAGGAGGTCCCAGTTCAAAGCAGATATAGGATTTCCTGCCTTGATTTTTTGGGTTATATGGTTGTGTGGAAGGACCCTCAGACAGGCCCTATATCCCAGAAACTAATCCCAGGTTTTCTGCTTTAAACTGGATCATATGAGTCCCCAGTGCTAGATAATCTGGGATAAACAGAAAATCTGGGATTGGATCCTGGGATATAGGGTCTGTGCGGAAAGGCCCTATGGGTTTCGCAGTCTTACTGGGGAAATGCCAAATGGGATGGGAGAAGTTCACATTTGCAAAAAGACAACTCTGGTTGGTGCTGCTTCTTTGAGAAACACTTTCCAGTTCACATTTTTCATTATGGCAATGGTAAAAAAAGTAGTTGATCTTGAGTTCTGAAAATAATTCTTTATAATGAGGGAAACACTTGCATGGGCTTTTGCTGTATATTTTGAAGAGAGAGAAAATCCTTTTTCCTATCTCAGCAGAAAGCAATGCCCATGGGACTTCTTCCTAACATACTGCACAGATAAAAATAACTTTAATTGGGTGAAAAGCTCTCTACCAGAATATAAAAAATAGCCAGCAGAGCCACAGTGTGCACCCGTCCCCTGCTTCCATGAGAACTTTGCTCAATAAATCCTTGTTTTCTTCTGAACTCTGCTCCAACTCATGGAGGCACCTTGGACTAGTAGATCTTTTCTTGTCTGTGTCTCCAAACATTGGCTTCCACAAAGCTTGAGACCTAAGAAGAGCATCTAACCACTAAGAAGGAGTGGCCAGCAATACCCCACTGACATGTTCTGAGATGGTCTTTCAGAAAGATGGGATTTATGCACTTCCAAGGGACTCCCACAGGAGGGCTTGCACAAAGTGCAAAGCTATGAAAATAAGTTTTCAACAGTAACCAATTTAATTTTGTTGTTTGTAAAATGCCCTCAAGTAATTTCCTCCATTCCAACCCTCCCCTGCCAGACTCACATTTTTGCTGCAATTTCTCCATCCCCAGTAATGTTACTTGCAATTCACTACTTCCAAACACTGTTGCAGTATTGCAATGTTTGTAAAAAGGCTGAATCAACATTTCAACATTTTCTCACCAAATCTTGTGGAGTTAAATGACAGAGATATTGATTTATGACACTTTCCCTCTAGCATTTACTTATGGTACTGGAATAATCTCTGAGCAAGCGTGTTTACTATGTTTGGGTATGTTTAATGTGGAGAAGAGAAGCCCGAGAGGTAAGATGAGCCATCTAAAAATATCTGAAGAAGTGTCATGTAGAAGATGGGGTGAATTTGTTCTCTGCTGCTACAGATAATAGAATATGAACCAATAGATTCAAATTATAAAAAGGAGATTCCTCCTAAATAGGAGGAGGAACTTTCTTACTAAAAAGGCTGTTTAACAGTTGAATCGACTGTCTCAGAGTTTGGTGGGCTCTCCATTTTCAAGGAAAGCCTAGGAAGGAATCCTGTGGATGATCTATTGCTCTTCTACGCTAAAGCTGTCCAGACATGAGAGTGAAGGCTCAATAAGTCATTTTGAAGTAAAAAATTAGATTTCTAAGGACTGCAGATACCAAAGGCCTGTGCCTGGCAAGGTCTGCTAACAGTCAAAGTTCCAGAAAGAAATTAGGACTGACCAATTGAAGGCAAATGACAGAGGCTTTAATATGCACTCTGCAGAAGGGATGTAATGAACAGCAACAGATACCAAAATATACAAGCATAAGTATTATGGGATGTGCAACCATTTTTATACAGCAGAAAACCCATACATTAACATTGTCTAGATTCAAATTTCCTTTCCCTGTCTCCTGTTCACATCATTTGCCTCATATTTAGTATCTTAGAAATAAAAGTATAGTTTATAATTAGAATTAGGAAGAAAAAAGGAGGGGAGTGGGGTCCTGGGATTTTGGCATGGCAGCATACTGGACATGTATTAAAAGAGGCAACTTACCTGTTAGAACGCATCTCTCCTTATGAACCTTCCAGGACTTTAAGATCATCTGGGAAGGCCCTGCTCTCGGTCCCACCTTCGTCATAAGTTCAGCTGGTGGGGAAGAGAAACAGGGCCTTCTCAATGGTGGCCCCCTCAGCTATGGAATGCCCCCCTAAGGATATCAGATTGGCCCCCTCCCTTTTAATTGTTCGGAAGAGAGTCAAGACTTGGCTTTTTGAGCAGGCATTTGTAAATACAGGGTAACAGACAGGCCCGTAGCCAGGATTTCGTTTCGGGGGGGGGGGGGCTGAATTCTTTTCAGGGGGGGATTCGGGGGGGGGGCTGAGTTTCAGGGGGGGCCGAGTCTGAGTGAAAGAGGGTCTAGCCTAGCAAACCTTTTGTATCATTACCCCATATGGGATATATTGAGTATGGTGATCAGATCATGATATGAATAAACATAACAGTTTAAATAATGCACCAGTAAGGCCTTTTCGCGAACCACCATGAGAATTTCGGGGGGGGGGGGGGCTGAAGCCCCTCAAGCCCCCCCCCTCCCCCCGGCTACATGCCTGGTAACATAGGAAAATGGAATGTTTGGATGATGTGATTGGACAATGTTTTTAATAAGGAGACCCTCATGATACATGTTTTTATTGATTTGCTATGGTTTTATTATCCGATTGTTTTTATTATATTGCATTGAAATTGTATTTTATGGTCTTGGTACCAACTGTAAACCACCCCGAGTTGCTTGTGGGCTGAGAGGGAGGTATATAAACATAATATAATATAATACAATATAATATAATACTATATATATATATATATATATATATATATATATATATATATACCTTTTAATTATTTAACTCCTACTTATGTGTGCATATTAGTATCAGCGGATTACTGGAGAAAAATAGGGATATAGAATAGAGCAGACCCAGGGATAAAAGGTGTTATGAAGTCCATGAAGGTAGAAACATTTTAGCACCATAAGGCTATGTTTTATTTTGGTAAACTAGATATTTAGTTGTTGCTAGAGAGACCTCCAGCCATGAGCTAGGGTCCATAAGATAAGTGCTGGTTTGGACTAGCACCAATTAAAGAGCCTGTGCTCCATGCGATCAGTCCAAAGTCACAACCTGGCACCCATTAAAGTTTCCTAGACCCCACAAGGGAGGTTCACGGTTGGACCCAGCTCCATGTGATCAATGCTCGAACTTGGCCAGCACACATTTAAGGAGACTGGGTTCCCTGTGA